AAACACCAGTGAAATACCAGGATTTTTCATTTTACTAAAAAATCATATCTTCATTGTGCGCAGTGAAGATACTATTTTTATCTTTCACACAGTGAAGATATTCCTTTTTGATAACATTTTTCTTTTGTCCCTTTAACTACACTTAAATTTGTTGATGTATGATTGAAACTTCCTTAGATCTTCTTCGGTCGTCTTCGGCAATCTTCGGCAACCTTCAGTAATCTTCAGAAAATGTTCGGAAATGTTCTGAAAATGTTTGGAAGCATTCGTCTGGCCTTCGGAACAATTAATTAGTACTATCCTCTATATAATTATTGTTTTGCCAGTCCCACTAAAAAACACTAGTATTAAAAAAATCAGAGTTTCATCCAAAAAAAGAAAGGAATAGATGGCTGCCTCTGCAGTTTAATAATAATTATAATAATAATCACAATCACAATCACAATCACAATCATAATCATGAAAATAAATTTTTTATTAATAATAAAATAATCTAATAAAGCTTTATTAAAATATTAATCCTAACAATTAGATAAATCAATGCAGAATATTCACAGAACAAAACAATGTGGTACAAAATATTTAACTCCTGAGAACTGAGAGTCACTCTGCTAAAATTCTGCTGTTCATCCAGTCAAATAGTTTAACATAATGATACAACAATTGAAGAAAAGGAATTTGATACACTCTGTTCATTAACAATTCCACAAGTTTACACAGCGGAAATTAATATTTGAGTAAATACGACCGAAAAGCTAAAAAAGAAAAAAAATTGACTTGCTCCATTTAAACTCACTTCCATCAATGGTAAAGAAAAAAAAGCTAAAAGCTAAAATCTTAAATAAATAACACCAGTATTAAAACAAGTAGAGTTTCGTCCAAAAAAAGAAAGGAACTAAAAGATGGCTCCCTCTGCAGTTTCATGATAATAATTAATAATGATAATAATAAAAATAATACTGGTTTGATATCAGCATATCCACTAAGGTGGCTCTTCATCTGATATAAACTACCTAAAAAAATTAAAATTACAATTTATGAATCAATGAAAAGAAAGATACTAATTTACAAATATATAGAATTGTGTATAAATGTATAATAGTATGTACATGAGAAAATTGAAAAATAAAATGATATTTATTAAGATGACTTCTCAGATAAAGCTTGGTCTTCTTGCAAAAATAATTAAAATCGGAACTGTTTCTGATATAAGAGGGAAGGCAGTTGAAAAGCTTAGCGATGCTGTCCTGAAAGGTGCCTTTCTCCTGTGGTGTAACTAATTGTTTGGTGGTATTTGAACACAACAGGTGTGTCTGATGGACTTCATTAACCTTAAGATTAGATGGCCATGATTTGAATTGCAAGGCCTTAAATACAAGTTTAAGTACATGAAACTCCCTTCTTTCCTTCATTGGAAACCAGCCTATTTTTAGGATGTCATTTGTGTCTCTAAAATATCGTCTGGTGACATGGAAGCAAACTGTAAATGCAGAAGCTTGCCTCTTCAAAAGAAAGTTGGGTAGTGGATAGAAAACTGTGTCATAAATTTAGAAATCAAAACATTATTATAATGAATAGTCCATATAACCTCAAAAATAATATTTCATAAATTTAGATAGTACTAACCAACCTACATATTAAACTTTTCATAGACTTATCTAGATAAACTCACTGAAGAAGCAATGAAGGATATTAACATCTGCTGCACAATTGACAGTAAAACTGGAGAACCATGTAAATGGGTTGGACAAATCAGGCATTTGGAGGTACAATGTAACTACTGCACATTTATTAAGAAATGTTGACTAGTTATAAAGGATGTTATTACAAGTACTGTAGCTATTATTGTTTTTTTAATTATTTTGTTTTAATAATCCTCATGTTGTGTTTCTTTTCTGGAGGCATCCCACATTTATTTGCACAACATGATAACCTTCAAAGTTGCGAGCTGTTCAGTGTGTTGAACTTCCATCCCTTTGAAAAGTTTTTCTCTTTTTTAAAATAATTTTGGAGAAACATCCATTTCAAACATGATAGCCCTGGATGTGACACAAATGTTTGTGTCCAGAAGGACGCACTCGGAAGTCATTTATGCATCTTTCCAGACATTTTACTCATCAGAGAGATGGGAAGTGCAGGTAGTCAGATCACTACAAAATTTGTTGTAGAAACAAAAAAGTAACCCCAAGGTTTTCAAAATGTACATGGACTTGTAAGCAAAAAAATACCACAATGTAAGTTTTTAATTGTTAACTCTCGTTTAGGTGCATATGGATTTACATCATAAGGGAGCTCGAGAGGCAACTGCTCAGGTAGATTGAAATGTTTTATTCTATTGGACTGGATTAACTGGTCAATAATATTGTTATTTGCTTTTATAATAATGACTGAGTATATTCTGAGTATATTACAAGGCGTGTTTATGCTGAGTAATTTTGTATGAAAGCCTGATGAAGTAAGGATTTACACTACTCGTGATATTTGAAAATTCTTTCAGATTGTACTCGCTTGCATAAAGGCTTGTGCAATTTTGGGAGAATTAAATTCAAATATCACTCTTAAAAAGTGTACGTCTAGTAAATCCTTTTTAAAATTGCACTTAAGATTGCATTTATACTAATTTGAGCAAAATCATTCATAAATTTCTACATCAATATAGCTCTAAGAATTTTGTCATTTATCGTAGATAGACTCTAACTCACACAGTAATATTGTACATGTACCTGTAACAAAATTAACTTATTTTAATATCCACCTTTGCAACAGAGCCCCTAAACAATGAAAAAGTGACAAAGTTCGTAGTGCATGCAGCAAGACATCACATGATATATTAGCAATAAGTTATTAATTTTGCAATTTTAAAGTCAGGGGCACATAGTAACATATTCGTGCATTTTGTTTTGATTTTACAGGATTTGTAGAAACCATGTCAGACTGTGATTTTGTGATGCAAACGCTCCTTATATATACAAACCATACAAGCCTTCAATTTTCAATCACTCTTTCTACTTTCATTTGAAACTGAAGATTTAAGACCTTAAACTGTTATAACGACAATAACAAAAAAGAACTGCACTCACACTCTACAACTCGACACAATGAACTTCTTAAACTTTTACTTATTTTTATGAGCAGAAATGTACTTTAAATTTGACCGCGCAGCTTTAAGCTTCCATAAGTTTAAGATTGTTCACTTTGACTTGATGATGGTGTTAAGAAAATGCTGAAATGTCGTTGCTAATTTAAACCAAAATGGTTTCAAACTTTTGATCTTAATATTATTATTACAATGTTAAAATAAATAAATTATAATATTTAGAGAGGAAGCCACATCGGCCTTAGCTGGCTTTCTTGCAGGTGCTCTTTCCTGGTTGAATTAGAATTTGGAGTGTTGGTTTTTGTAGAGGGAGGAGCTGCAGAGAACCCAGAGAAAACCCCTCAGAGCAAGGCCAGAACCAACAAACTCAACCCCCATATGGCACTGAGCCTGAATCGAACCTGAGCCACTTTGGTGGGGGGCAAGCGCTCTCACCACTGTGCCATCTCTGCTCCCCGTAGTGAAAAGTGAAAAGTTTAGAAAAGCACACCAAAAAAGAGACAAACAGCATGGCCGTCACTCACGTCACTCACCTACATGTAGTAAAAAGCTGAGAGACTAAACAGTTTTATCGTGTTAACGCGTGCAGACATTGTAATTCCTCAACATCGAGGCATGATTCTCTCTTTTCTGTGATTACAGCTGAGCCCCGCTGTCTTTCCCAGTACTGCTCAAGGTGCTGTTCCTGGTCCCTCTACTTTGCCCTTATTTGATCAGCCAGACGGTGAAGAATCGTGGAAGGAAGTAGCGCAGGGTTTGATGGACAAGGTACGTGCATGTGACCTTTTCCTCACTACCCATTATGTTTGATTTTGATGAGATGAAGGACAGAGTACTCGAGAATCGAACATCAAATGAGTTGAAATGTAACAATAAGAAAAATATTACCATTGACATAACGTGAAATTATCATGAATAGTTACGGTGTATGCGAATTCAATGTTATCAGAATTAGTGAATAAACTTGCGCTGAATACCTATACTATAGACACGCCGTCTATCATTTTATATTCTCAGCAACGTATGGACCACAATGACATTCAGGAGTTAAAGCAACAATTTGAAGTGCTCTTACGAGCATATAACACTGAAAAACACAGACGTGAGCAACTAGAGAATGTGGTGGCATCTACAGCGGAAAAATTTCAACTTTTGGAAAACAAGGTAATCCTCTGATTATTTAAATTTTCTGTGTTAATTCTTTATTTCTGATTCTTTTTTTTTTGCTAATCAGTAACAACGGCAATAAGTTATTGTAATAGTGTTAAAGTTAAGATAAAAACATAAACCGTCAATATTTGTTTCGTATTTTCAGCAAAGTATGGATCGCACCAATATGGACCAGTTACAACAGCAGCTTGCAGCATTTAGTGATGCAGTGGTTACTGAGAAACGGGAACGTGAGCGATTGCAGAATGAAATGAGGGTTATAGAGGGTCAAGTTAAAGTTCTGGTAATTCTTTTATTGTATGTTTATCTCATGGTTAAAACAAATATAAGCAAATTGTAAGGATTTTACTACTCGGTCACTTGTTCTATCTGCATCTAAAATTGAAATGTAAATGTGGTTTGTTTACCCATGGAATACGGAAGAGCTCTTATGAACTCACCACAAAGTGTTGAGAGACCCTGGAAACGAGGTTGGCGTCGAGATTGAATTAGAATTTAGATCGTTGGCTTTTGTATCATCATCTTCTGCCCTCATTGCACCATGGGATGCATAAGGCCTTCACAGTCTCTATCGAGCGTGAGTGATCTTGTGCCACCTTCCTGATTTCGCCCCAGGTCAGATGTATGGAGTTAAGTTTCTTCTTCTATGTTGTTTTAGGCCTTCCCTGTTGTTGGCTTTTGTAAAGGGGGGAAAACTAGAAAACGCTGAAAAAACCCTCGGTGCAAGGGCGAGAATCGATAACAAACTGAACCCACTTATGTCACCAGGTCCAGAATTAAGCCGGGTAACAATGGAGGGAGGTAACTTGGGTGCAGACGTCTACCATGTCCTTTGTGTCAAGGGTTTTGTAGGAACACTTTGCCATGATGGCCACTTGAAAAGAAGGAAATACGAGACGTTTGCAAGCAGGCTAGGGGGAGGCGGTTATCTTTAAAGTGACAATCGAGGAATGGGGAACTGTAATTCCACTAGCGGTGTAACTCTCATTGCGCCGATTCTCGTTACACCGGTACGCGTTTTACAACCAGCCCTCTGAACCTCATGTTTAGAACAGGGATGGAGTGGCAGATTATTGAAACTTCAGTCATGCAAGGTATATGATTGCTTTCCTTGTGGCGCAAACAGGGCGGTTTTATTATTTAAGTTTTAATTTTTATCTCAGTTCATATCTGATCCATAACATAACCATGGTTTGCTTTACATTTTTCTTAAAGTCGGAGCGACAATGGACGACAAAAGTGTTGAGACGCTTGGCAGTAAAATTCGATTTTCGAGCGTCTTGGAAACATTTCCTCCCCTTGCCCCCCAAACAATGTTGATTTTTCTATTCCTTAGACTGCACAGACTACAGCGCCTACACAACATTGAATTTGGGGGCCGGGGGTATCAGAGAATTCACGCCGGAAGCAAATAAAATAGAATAAGTGCCTAAATATCAAAAAGCGTCGTTTTCTAAAAGTGTCTCAACTACTTTTGTGTCCCATTGTAGAATTTAAAAAAATATGTGTATTTGATGAAAAGAGATATGCTCGTAAGAAGATATGTATTCAAAGCCACCAAATGCACCCCCTCGCCAGAACTGCAATAGTTGTACCTGGAAACAAGCCATGAAACCAAATAGGTGAAAGTGACATATTTCATATATACGTATTCTCAGCAATCTATGGGCCACCTTGAACAGCTGAAAGAGCAACTTGCGACCCTTTCTGATGCACTTGCTACTGTGTCACGTCAAGGTGAGGAGTTGCTACAGGAAGTAAGAACTGCAGAGGGCAGAGTTGAAGATCTAGAACGCCAGGTACCTCTTTAATTTTATTTGTTTATGCTTGGCATACGTGTGGCGGAATATCTGTAAAGTAGCTGGTACATTTTTTTTTAGCTAGGCTGTGTAACTACGCGTATGTTCCACGTTAAATTAAGTATTGTATCGTATATCGTATCATATCGTATCGTATCGTATCTTATCGTATCGTTGTATTTTCCTTTTCTTTTATCTTTTTTTTTTTCGCGGAGATACTAGCACATAGGTGCTACTCTTCAGTGCGAGCTTAAATAAAGTTTACTACAACTACTACCGACTACTTTCCTTCTCGCTCCTTTTTTTCTCTTGTCACCTAAAACAATGGCAAAAGAAAATGAAAACTGTTGATTCTGCATTACAATTACAATGGTAGTTGTACAACACTATTTTCAGCAGCGTCATGACCAAACTACCACCGAACAGTGTAAAAGACAGCTAGAAGTATTTGCTGAAGAATTTGCTGAGGAAAAAAGGAAATACGAGCAATTACAGGACAACGTTAATACTGCAGATGGCAAAATTCAGGTTCTAGGACGAGAGGTATAGTTCATTGATTTTATAAAATAATGTGTTTTTCTCATTTCTCTATTCATTTCTCGTTTCGCTGCCGCCTTCTATTCCATTTATTTCTTCCAGTTTTTCGTCGACAGAACTAGCGTATCATTAACTTTTGATGACTAAGTATACTTAACGCAGATGTGTTTTTCGTTACTCTTTTGTATGCAACTTTTAAATCATGTCATGACGGTACTTCTGACTCCCCCATCGACTCCTACAAACTACTCCTGTTCCCAGTTTAGAGAACACAATATAACACAGCTTTAATCAGTTTCTATTTGGTTTTTGACAATTACTCCATCTAACATTTTAGGGGATCCATCCATCCATCCATCCACCCACCGACTGATGTTCTTACCACGTTTTGACGTCATCTGTGATCTATTAAGCAATTAGATTATGAGCTTGAGATTTCTGTCGCGTGATATGCGCCCGAGTCAACTATCACGCATAGAAATCGAGAGCGAATAATCTAATTGTTTTAGTATAAACCTACTAGTCGATCAAACCTTGATCTAAATCCTCTTCACAGACACTTCGAAAACGCCAAAAAACGGCTGTCATTTTGTTAACAAGGGCACACTGCTACGCTACTCACTATCTATTACAGAACAGATAGTGAGTAGCGTAGCCAATCAGAGAACGGCATTCGTGATAGAACGCTAGTAGATTTATGCTTATACTGAACAGACGCACGGCATCATGGAATCTATTTGTCTCACATATATATACATTAAAGAAACAACAATGTTAATGAGGTCATCTATGCGTCTGTCTTGCAATTGAATGCAGTCAACATAAGTAAGAACCAATCAAAATGCGAGTATAACTCGACATTATATAATTATACATTGACTGATTTAATTAATTAATTTATTTATTTATTTATTCATTTATTTATTTATTGTCAACTGATTAATCCATTTTGCGCTTCAGTTGGAAACTCAAAAGAATATATGTGCCAGTGCCGGAGCAGAATGTGCTGGAGAGTTTGAGAGAGGAATTGAAACTCTAGCTCTAGAAAGTGGAATACTTCAAGAGTACATTGGGCGACTTCAAAGTGGGTACCTTGATATGCAAAGAAGTCTTGGCGACCTGGAAGCACAGTTTAGGCGCTTTGAAGATGAACGCCTGTAAGGTTTTGATGGAAGTTTGTAATGTGTATCAGTAATGAGCTCAGGAGTTAGAACATTTTAGCTCAAAGTTGCAGACTTAATCATTAATCTAGGATCCAAGTGTACTTTGTTCTGAGGAGTGAAGTGTCGAAGGCAGTTTCGTGTTCTTCACGGTTCAATTGTTCGTTCTTCGAAGTGAGTCGATGCAAGACCTTTTTGTTATTGAGAACTACATGGTCCAGTCGAAGTCTGTTTGTTGTTGGTCGAATTAACTGTTTCTATACATTTTCCCCACATCAAGAACGTGTTAGCTGGGGATAAGCTAGACTTACCCAAGTTTTTTTTTTTTGGAATTCTCGTGACCGAGAGCTTTATAAAATTCTCTGTGGGTAATTTATTTCTTATTTATGAAAGCGCGATCCGAGACTAGTACATTTTGTGCATGAAACGCGAGTCAAAGTGCTTTGAAACGTTGAGCTATTGCGGGTAACGCACGTTATACCAAAGCTGCGCTGAATCGCTTAGAAACAAAAGCGTACTTTACTTAATGTTCTGCCTGTATGACTTTGCAACAAATGAAAAGTGCCTGACACTGACATCCTCAGACGTCTTCTACATGTTCCCAAGAAATTATGCATCCCGTTATACTTTGAATAAAGTTTTTTCATTTCACCCTTTAAGCAAACCAGGGTGCGACGGGTTGAAGCGAAAGGTTGTGTTCCTGACCCTCCGTTCTGTAGTTTGAACGATACAATGGTACATTTTCAGATGTATGTGTAATTTAGCCGTTCCTATCAATATTGACAACCAGAGTATTATATTTTCACCATTCACAACCTCGTACTCAAACTTAAAGTTTGAGTCTAAAGACGGATAAATTACATAGCTCATTGGTATTAAGACTGTTTTTTAAATCGCGGAGCAAAGCTTCGAATTTTATTTTAATTATAAAATATGGCCAGGAGTGAGTGTACTTGCTTTGTGGGACTCGTACCATCTGGATGGTATGCATGATTTAATCATGACGTTTTTAAGGCGTTAGTTCTTGTTACTTTAGGCGATTTTGCCATGTGCAAACTGATTAAAAAATTAAAGAGCTGAACGAAACACTACGCACAGCGAAAAGCGGGCAAGCTAGATTGGCTTGGAGGTATTTCGTAAGGTTTAGAGTTCACAGTTCAAACAGGAGGAAGGCAAGATCGCCTAAATTAGCGCGACTCACGATTTTAAGGCTGGAGGTTGACTCCATGATATTTATGAACTACGACGCCCAAGGTGTCATAAAAAAAAATCATTTCTTATGTAAGGGGTTTTTGTAAATGTTG